CTTCTCCGCAAGACAGGTTATGTCGTTGAAATCTCCTGCGACGACCCAAGGTAACTGATTGTTATCCTTAAGCTGCCTCAACAGATCCCATGTCACTCTTCGACTACCCCTGTCCGGATCTCCGTAAAAGCCCGTCAACCGCCACGCCGGACGACCTGGTAGCGTTATTTCCATGTCGATGTGATGATTGGAAAGACTTAATAATGATGCCGCATTTTTATCCCTCCAGAGAAAAGCTAATCCCCCCTCCAAAGCCTACTCGATCCACGCAGATTTTTCCCTCGAAACCTAGTTTCACACGAACCTCCTCTATACGATCCTCCGTTGCTTTTGTCTCCATTAAGAAGACAAACTGGGGTCTATATTTGGACATAATGCCCAATAAATCACGAACTGTTCGGGACCCCCCCAATCCCCGGCAGTTCCAGCTTAACAGATTCATAAGGCTCGGCGAGCCTGGTCTGCCAGACTCGCCAATTCATGCACTTTTGTATTATCTGCCATCTGCACATCATCTCCCAGCCTACCCTCCAAAATCACAAGATCACCCCTACGACGCTTCAAATCACCATGCAACCCTTCTGTCTCCTCCCTGGTCACAAGAGTAGCCGGGGAGATATCCACCGAGGCGGTAGGGAGTGGAGCCGCAATGGTGGACGATGATAACAACCATTTTGCGCCCACCGGTTTCACCTGGCGCCTTGGACCTGCACGTAACCACGCCCCATATGGGAAGTCTTCTGGAAGAATACCTTGTTCATACGCCGTTTTGCAAAACTTATCTGAATGTCCCAGGATGCCGCAACAATAACATAACGTACTCAACCTCTCGTATTTAAACGAAAGCTATTGCGTCGTCCCCTCTCGCCTGACCAGCTTCATGCGCCTCTTGATAGGGGCGGATACGCTTAACTTCACACGAATTCTGTAAAAACTTCGCCATGCCCCTCCAAAGTTGAACGGATCCAGAGCGATGAATTCCCCTATATAATTGCCGATCTGCGAAATAAATTTAGGAGATGCGTACATTGCCGGTAGTCCATGAATCTGGATCCAAAAGGGGATGGTCTCCAGTTCCACCTCCTCCGGACGAACGTTGGGCGGCACTTGTTCACAAATCAGCAGGTGGTTCTCAAAGGACCAAGGTCCATCTTCAATTACCCGATGAAGATCCCTCGGATGCGGGAATTGAAAGAGAAACAGATCATCCGCCAGAGAAATCGCATACATACCCATGACGGTCGCCATACTGATGCCAGGACATGCTGCATATGCTCGAACCGAATTGGCCGATCGGTGAGGAGACGGCCAACAAGGTTATTCATAATCGTCGCATCTGGAATCGACAGAGCATCCGGAGCCTCAAGACCTCCGCCCGCTTCATCGGCCAGAACAATCTCGGCACAACGCTTTTCTAAATCCAGGACGTCCATGCAGATCGATATCAAGAGCCACAACAGAAAAAGATTGATCGCAGGTAGAGAAAACGAAACCATCATCGCAGATTAAATAACAGCGCCCTAGATAGCCTAGGGAGAACACTTTCTCCGATCACGATCGGGAGAGGTATCCACGTTCGTAATGTTGAATCAAAACCACGATCAGGTGTGGCGAAGAATACGGAGCGTTTCTAATGCGATTTTCATTAACTTTTTAAATCACTATTAAATTATTTCATAAAGATTAGTTTACTACCTATATAATTATGTAGATGAGAATTAGAAAATTTTATCTTCCTCCCATTTTCTCCATTGCCATGAACTTTTATACAATATAAAAATATATATTTTCTTCTTCTTCTTCAAGGTTGGAACTCTCCTTTAAACAAGTGCCTTGTAAGTGTTATTCCTTTATTTTATTTTATTTTATTTAGTATGGGTAGAATACAAGTAGGGACCTTAACATTTTACGGGTGCTTATTTGTACCTTGTGTTGTTTTATTGTTGTTGATGATGATGGTTGATAGAAGGGTAGGATTTGAACAATCGAGGCTTAGAGAAATTTGGGAAAATAAGATTTCACGGTAAGTGGTTGTTCTTCTTTTTACTTTGTCCAAAGTAATTTGTAAAGTGATAGGATATGTTGGTTGATAATTATTTGATTGAATGTTTTGACTTATGAAATGACTCAATTGATTACTTAAAAACATTTCTATACTTAAAAAAAAAAACTCTTTTATTATATATATATATATATATATATATATATATATATTTGTTTTATTCATACGAAAAACAATATATATATATATATATATATATATATATATATATATATATATATATATATATATGTGTGTGTGTGTGTGTGTGTGTGTGTGTGTGTGTGTATATATGTGTATGTAGTTGTTTATTTACATACATATGTGTATATCTCTATAAAAAATTACTATTATTATTATTATTATTATTATTATTATTATTATTATTATATTTTCTTTATAAACATGTATTATTAAAAAATATAAACGTAAATGAAAATCTTTTGATTTCTTTCTTTAGATTCATAATCCTAACCTCCCAATCCCTGATGATACACTTCTTGTAGGCAGATACGATTCCATTAATAGGGCCAAGTAGAGCCGTCAATACGGACTTAGCCCGCCGGGTAAGTCCGTCCCGCCCTACGAAAAGGGCGGGGCAGACATTGATATTTTAAGCCCGTATTTTGACGGGTTTTTTTAGCCCGCCCCCGCCTAACCCGCGGGCTTTGGCGGGCCGGGCCGGCGGGGACCCGCCAAATATATACAAATAAAATTTTATTTTAATTATATATATATGTATATATATATATATATATATATATATATATATATATATATATATATATATATTTGTTTACAATGTATAAATGATTTGTTATTGATTTATAGATTAACACATTATGCATTTGATTATTTATTACTCCGTAGTTATTATTGTGCTTAAAACATTAGAAATGTATTAATATATGTTTAAATTATCTAAATTATTTTAGCATATACTTATTATCTTTTTTATATTAATTTTTAGTTAAAATTAAATATTTAAAAATTTGGCGGCCCCCGCCAAAGCCCGTGGGCCTAAGGCGGGCGGGGCGGGCCGACCTACCTTAGGCCCGTATTTTGGCGGGCTTTTTAACCCGCCCCCGCCATATGGCGGGCTTCTGCGAGCCCCGCCCCGCCGGCCCGTTTCGACAGCTCTAGGGCCAAGTAACTCAGTGTCCCCATTGATCCAATCCACAACCTCTTTTTCATCAATACGGATTCAAAGTTTTCTGACCTTCCTATCCCAAGCCCATTGAAGGGCAGAATACACCGCCCTTCTGCCATCAATGCATCTTGTGCAATGTGGAGAGACGGAGGAGAGTTCTCCCTGTTGATGGCGCATGTGTCTTCTATCTTGAGTTTGATGAAGATGCTGATCATATTGTAAGGAAATGCTGGAAGGCTAGGGAGGTCTGGGAGCGCCTGATTCCTGTCTATAACCGCGTGCAATGGGAAGGTGGCGACTTCGCGGGGTGGATCCTGGGCAACATTGCGATGAAGTCAGACTGGAGTGTGTTCTTTGCTACAACAACATATCTCGAGAGATTTGTTTCAATTGGGCAAAGGGCATACAACGATTCAATTCGGTTGTTCTTACAATTATGCAGTTGTAAAATTACCTTTTTTTTTTTTTTTTTTTTTTTTTTTTTTTTTTTCTAAGTTATTTCTTGCGGAGGAATTCTATGTATTTTTTTACATTAAAGATTTACATTACTTTTTCATATTGTATTTTTATTTGTAATTATGAAACTAATTACTATATATAAAAATAGTCTATTAAAAGGTAGGATATTGATTTATATAATAATTATTTCCATATGAGCGTATGTAACTGTCAATTCCAGAATTTCATATAGGTATACTAGGGTAATATTATATTTATATATTATTCCAAAAAAATATACATATATATCATACATCATATATAGTTATTAGGATCAGATTTAGGAATGATATATATAATTGAGTAGAATAATTTAATTATATATAATAAATTATTTTAAAGTTATTTGGCAGATTGGAATGTCACAAAAGTATCCCTACAATTAGGAATTTTTATTTATAATTGTGAAATTAATTACCATATATAAAAATATAAAAATATTCTATTAAAAGGCATGATATTTATTTATATAATAATTATTTCCATATGGATGTATGTAACTGTCAATTCCATAATTGTATATAGGTATAATAGGATAATACTATATCTATATTTTTTGAATACATATATATCGTACATCATATAGAATTATTAGGATCGTATTTAGGAATGATATATATAATTAGGTAGAATAGTTTAATTATATATATTATATATATTAATTTAAAGGTAACCTATTAAAAAGTTTGAAATGATGTAATAAATTATTTTAAAATTATTTGACAGATTGAAATGTCGCAAAAGTTTCCTGCAATTAAGAATTTTTATTTGTAATTATGAAATTAATTACCATATATAAAAATAGTCTATTAACAGGATATTTATTTATATAATAATTATTTTCATATGAACGTATGTAACTGTAACAATATACATAATATACAATAACAATGTAAAAAAAAAAAATTAACATTAACTACTGCAAATTTATAGGTTGTGCATCGCACGGGTATAATAATAATAATAATAATAATAATAATAATAATAATAATTAATAATAATAATAATAATAATAATAATAATAATAATAATAATAATAAGTGGTGGGGGAGGTGGCCAAGACCTTTTGGTCTAGTGGCACACTGGCACGAAGTGGCTCTCCGAAATGAGAGGTCATGAATTTAAGGTCTGATGGAAGCGATATCGACTCTTTGTACTTCAGTAGGATGCTATCATATTACATGATAGTTTACGGACTATTTCAATTTTATTTTTTAAAAATAAAATCGCCTCTCCCAAAAAAAATAAAAATTTGTAAAACATTAGATTTGGCTTGCAGCTATTTTAAGGAATTTGCATAACCCACACACCATTTCTTTGGTTCTCGCAATTGGGACCCCTACTAATTTACAAAATACAACTACGGTCGTAGCAGAAAAACTAGCAACAAATCTACTTCCCCATCTCATCGCGATTTGCAGGTATATTTTGGTTTTCGCTTTTTTTTTCTTAAAATTTTTAATTTTATTTTATTTATAATTCCTGTATTCCAACGCCATGAAAAGGTGAGCCACTGTTATCTCGCGCTCTCAATTGCTGGACCCGGTGTTCGTGCGCGCCGTAGCGAGCGACGTAGGGTTTTCTCACTGAGTTGCCATCCAGATCCGAGTCCCCAACCGTTTCTCTCACCCGATTCCTTTCTTCGAGATTTCACAATGTTTTGGCGTATGGCGGGTCTCTCCACAGCCTCTCCTGTAAGGCCTTCGGTTCAATTTCTTTCGGATGTTGATTTTGTTTGTTCGATATAGCTTTTCTTGACGATCATGTGTTTTTTTATTATTTTTGAATTTTTAATTTTTTTGGGAGCTCTTGGGTTCTTCAGTTTATATGTTGAATTTTAGTTCTTGTTTTTTGTGTTGTGGAAATTAAAAATGTAATAATGTTTGATTTAGCTGTAGTGAAACGTTTGTGCGAGCGCTATTATTTCCTGAATATTGTCGTGATGTAGGTATATTGCGTGGGATTATGAATGTAATTGATTTTTGGGTGGAATTCATTGTAGGGCAATAAATCTAGCATTGTAACATGTCATTTCAGTTGCATACCATTGGGTTCATGGTGCAGTTTTCATATTATCATTATCTACTCTTAAGTCGAAAACCCCAAAAGTCAATAAAAATGCATTCCTTTGTAGCCTATATGTTATTAACCATGTGAAGTTCTGGTATATGGATCAAAAAAGTAAATTAAAAAAAGAAAAGAAAATTCTATGTATCCAATAGAAGTAAAAGACTATTCAAAAACCGAAACCCATCCTTTCAATTGTTTCTTCCAGCTCCTGCATGAGAAGTGAGTTCAATATTGGTGAACTTTTCATATCTTTGTTCATTGAGCAATTCTTTAACAACAAGAGCTGGGGCCATCTAACCAACTCCAAACAAAGCATATCACAAACTGACAAACATAAAAATAGAGGACAAGTTTGGGAGAAATCAGCAGACAGTGGCAGCGTCATATGTGATTTCAGAGTATCTTCCCAATGGTGTAAAATTAAAAATGATTTTAAATGAATTTAACTTCTTAGCATCACCAGGAAGTTCCATTTCTCTAGGGAATCTCTTATGTGGCTAGATCTATTTCTAGTTCTACTTTGTCAGTGTAGTTCAACTCATGGAAGGTCCATGGTAGTAGTTCTTCACAGAAGAAGTAGATGAGAGTTGTGTAAAATCAGGGGCACGTTATAGTTAAGTGAATTAGTAGAGCTGCAAAGGATTTTGGCTTTTTTTTTTTTTGGTTTTTGTTTCAAGATGCTTGCAACTATTCTTTCTATGGGTGCCATTATCTATAAGTTGATTTGATGATAGTGCATTCATTGCTTATTGGTATGTTTTCATGAAAGGGAGACCTTGTGGGAATGAAACGTGGTGATTTTTTTTTGTTTTTTTTTTTTAAAAGCTAAAAAAATTCTAGGTATGCACCTAATTTCTGTGGGTCTAGACCCTAGAATATGAATTTAGTTAATTTGCACAGGCTAAGAATTCATCTACTACATAGATTTGCTTGTTAACTAGGAGTGGCACAGCGATGAAAGGAAACTGTTATAGAATTCAGAAGTACTGGAATCAGATCTGTCATTCTTTTGGAGAGCTATTAACAAGAATAGTGGAGTTGCTGAGGAACAACTAAGGAGAATGTAGGTTTATGTGTAGCCATGTACAGATCTGGCCTAGCAATCTAGCCCCAAGAAAAATGTTTAGTTATGATGCAAAAGAAGCTTTACCAAACTTGTATTCAGTTTCATAAGCACGTAATATTATAGATAACATTTTGTTCAAAACACCAAAAGGGTGCCCCCAAGTACAAGAAGTACTTATGAAGATATAGCAGACTAGAGAACCCTAAAATGGAAAACAATATGGTTATACTAAAAACATATTGGAGTAACCAGAGACCAAGTTCTGATGAAGTTCTCCAAATCATATTATCCAAATGATAAAACCCTTTGACTAGTGTGCTTACAAACCCTCATCCTCTAGGTGCAAAACTACTGGCTTCCTGCTTCTGCTGCATGCATCCCTTATTTCCTTTCCTGATTTAACAAGAAAGTACGAGCAATTTTTCTTCCTAGAAGTTTCAATCATAATAGAAATAATAATATAATATAAATATACTCCCTTTGTCCCATTTTACTTGTCCTGTTTACTATTCATTGGTTAAACCAACTCTTTCTTCTTTGTTTATTGTCTTTAGTAATTTTGAATTATTTTTAAATTTTTTTATTTTGTGTTTAATAGTACTTTTAATGTAGTTTCTAAATATATAAATTTTATATACTAATACTAAACTTAATATTGTGAAAAATTGAATTAAAATAACTTCAGTCAAATCTCGTTAATCGAACCAGACACAAAATTGGCAGGAGGGAGTATTAATTTAACACCAATACATGAGATTTTACCCAAATTCTTGCAATATCATTAAGATTACCTAAAATCTCATCACTGACTTAGTGACTCTTAAAAATAGTTTGGCTAACAAATCAGATGATTGGAATGCTATATATTTTCTTTCCTCTTTTATCAAGTTAATAATGAAATTGTCCATATAGGTTATTGGATATGGGTAGAAGCCTTTCCACTTAGGTTTTGTTACTATAACCTTGATCTCAACTTTTGATTGTTGTTACATTCATCCTTTTCTCTTATGCTGATTTTATGTGCCTGTTATTTTCTTATCTATATGTGGATATGTTTATGAATGGAGATTATTTGATCTCTTGCCATGTTTTCTACCATAACTAGGATTGCAATGTTTTTACATGGTTTTTGTTGTTATGGATCTTGTAAATTTGTTGGTTTGGACCTATTATTATAGCCTAGAGTCTCGGTATTGTCTTTTGTAAGTATAATTGTTAGTTATGTGAAGTAATGTTACTTTTATTTCTTTGCTGGTTACATATTTATTTCAGGTGGAGACAATTCTAGACAAGGATAATTTCACATTAGAAGAACTTTTAGATGAGGATGAAATAATCCAAGAATGTAAAGCTCTTAATGGCCGTCTTATCAACTTGTAAGTTGTTTGCTTACATGCAGTCACTCACTTTCTCAATAGCTGCTTCCAGTGTTTGATTGGTTCCACTTTTCTTGGTGCTATTAAACTGTGCTTATTAAAAACATGACGAAACGATTACTCTTTTGATCTTTGTGCCTTTTCTAGGACAGGCTTAAGTTTCTGCTTGTTCTACAGCATTAGACACATCTATTTTCATGATTTATCACTACCTTTTAATTTTTTTAATCATTATTTTCTGATTTTGGTTCATGTGTTTAAGCATTTCTGAACACATACTGAGTTAAATTATGGGTCTTTCTGCATTCTATAATAGGCAAAAGATTGAGATGGAGATAAGACTTAAGGTGTGGTTAGGAACATAAGCCCTAGAAGTCTCTGTGTATTTGATAATTGATATACACCATTTTGATCTCTGACACATATTCATTAAGATAAATACCTTTTTGCTCTTGGTCTTGGACATGTATTCATCAGAAACCAGATGAACTACAAAGTCTTTGCAGCTTTCTTTGATATGCTTTAAACTTTGAGTTGTTTCTAAAAAATAAGAATTGTAATTATGATGGTACGACTTGGATTATGAAACTTATAGTTATGTCACCTGAATCTACTTCAGGCAAATACTGTGAAAGAGAAGTTATGATTTTCTATCAGTGACAAAACTATGGCCTTTATTTTGACAAATCTCCTGTATTTTTGCTTCCCTAGAGCAAGAATGAAAGACTTCTTGAGTGCCATATGGCCCATACATGTATTAAATCTTAAGACTTAACACACCCTAAAGCATGGGCAATAGTGTTTGTAGTTATTGTGACAATATTTGCCACATATGGTGTATATGCATATCTATATGTATGTGGCAAATTTTTGCTATAAAGTTATAGACTTAAGTTCAGTGATCCCTCTTGTAGTCTATTTTTGTTATAATGGAAGGTACCTCCCCTTGTTCTGCTAATGTTCAGCTTACTTGCCTCTAAACTATGGAAAGTAAACAGGCTTGATTTGAACTCCCATGTTGTGTCTTTTTGTAAGTACATATTCTTACTATGCATCTTCAACTTTTTTAACATCTAATTTTGATAGTTAGATGATGCAGTGCTTAATGCTTTCAGCCTTTGTCCATTTAGTTAGTTGCTGGTTAATTATGATATGTATGCTAAATGCTCACTACCCCTACCTTCTAAGGCACCGCCTCACACATGAACGCTCATGTCTTTCTCACTTTGTTCCTAGCTTACTAAAATATTATCTCTCATGTTGAAATTTGTAAATATAAATTCTTTGAGCTGTTTCCTTGTAAACTTTCTATTTACTGCCACTCTAAAATATTTGTTTTCACTTGTGGGCTATTTGGAAGTTTACGGGAGAGAAGTCAAGTGGAACAACTTGTCAGATATATAGTGGAAGAGGCTGCAGATGAAACTGAGAAAAAACGAACATTTAAGTGAGTTACTTAAAAAATATCTTTGCCCTGCCTATTAATTTCTTGCATATTTACATTATCTTGAATATGTTGTATTGTTCTAATTTTTATTTTTTTTTGGTTCATGTGGGTGAATAGGTTTCCTTTTATTGCTTGCGAAATTTTTACTTGTGAGGTTGATATAATTCTCAAAGCTTTGGTTGATGATGAAGAGGTGACAATACATGCTTTCACTGTTTGCTTTATTTATCTTATTTGGAGGAAAATGCTTTTAAATAGACTTTTAATTTTGATTGGCAGCTAATGAACTTGCTATTCTCATTTTTGGAACCTGTGCGTCCTCACAGTGCTCTGCTGGCTGGTTACTTCAGCAAGGTATCTCATTAAATTAGATGGTGGTATTTTGTTTCACTTCACTTTTCCGAACATGGATTGACTGTTTCCTGGTGCTTTTTTTTAAAAATTTTTTTATTGGGTGGGGGGTGAGGTGGTGAAGGTGGTAGATGTCTTTCCTTGAGGGGGAAGTAGAGCTTGAATCCCTTGTGTTTGGAGATTATACTTGTTATTTTATTTAGGAAAAAAAGGAAGCTTCTACTTAATTACAATATATTTTGCCATTTTCCTCTCCACCTCCCTAGTAAAGTAGTTGACTGATTGATTTTGAGGTTGGCCTAGGATCTGAGTGCTTTCCCTTTTCTGGTCCTTGTTTGCAAATGGTCATATGTTGCTCTGGTCAGAGCATTAAAATATTTCTTATATTTGCTTTTGTTTTTAATATTCTTTATGAAATCAATAGGTGTATACACACACAAAAACAATATTAAAGACCTTTTCCATTTTGTTTTTAATTTTGTTTCTGGCTTTGCAATATTATTATTTCTTTTTATGTTGGCATTTGATGTTCACAGTTCCATATGCTAGGTTGTTATATGCCTGTTGCAGCGGAAGACAGTACCTTTGATGAATTACATACGAGTAAGTACAGTGTTTGGTTAACTTTATTAAGGAATATGCTTATGATTGTGATAAAATGTGGCTTGGTGGTCAAACCTTAGCCTGCCTCCAATGCCTTCGCATGGCTTTTTGTGTCAATCTGGTGATTCTGGTCTGTTTGGTTTTTTTCCTTGAGGGGTGGGTAGGTTTGTTCCTGCCTGGCTTCACATGGTGTCATGGTTTGAAAATTTTCCTTGTTTCAACTGAAACTTGTAAATATCAAAAAAGTCTAATTCAAATTTTGCTTGTTAGCTCAGGACTACTGATTGCTTGTCTTTTGTTGTTTGGTAGGATGCTGACAATTTTTTATTTCTATATTTAATGCTTTCATATTTTTACTATAAGGAATATTACATGTTCTATTCTTCACCTTGATGGTTGAAATATCTGCTGCTTTTATTGTCTGAAAGATGAACTGTAAATCTGTAATCTAATGATAACCTTTCATACTCTTGCAGACTCATCAGGAGGTTATCAGAAAGTTGGTTGATCTCATTGGAATTACTTCTATCATGGAGGTCTGTAGTTTCAAAATTTATTTTAAAATATTCCCTTAAATACACTTTCAGGTCTTAATGCATTTTTATGGACAGGTTTTAATTCGCTTAATTAGCTCCGATGAACACATGTATAGCAACTTTGTGGATTCAATGCAGTGGTTAGGAGATACTGATGTTCTGGAGATGATTGTGGATAAGTTTAGCTCAGCAGTACGTTCGTGAATACACCCCTAATATCATTTATATCATTTAATGAGCTTATAGAACATTTTAGGGTCTTGGTTTATGAATCTTCACTCTTCAGGCTCTGCAGTTTCCTGTGTATGTAGGTTTGAGATCTAATAATCTTCCTGGTGCCCTTATGCTTGTTGAGATTCATGGGTTGCAAGTGAGTGGATAGGATGAGTCCTTGAGAATTGGGTTCAAAAAATATTTTTCCCCAGTTGGGATATGATTTAGGCTTGAATGGAGTTAGATGCAACCTTTTCAATAAAAAATCAGGTTGGACTAAAATGTGTAGATGGTTTGAATATATTTTGTGTTTTTGTTGGATAACAGATGGGACCTTGTGGTGAGGTTTTTGGTGCCTTGGTGGAGGGGGATATTCCATCTAGAGTTCTATTTTACCTCTTATTTACTTTTTATTACATGGAACGAATATTTTCATAATTAACTATAGATTTAACATTTTCAACTTATTTTTGACAAAGAAGTTAAAATAACTTATTTTCTTTTTGAAATGAAGGCAAGGAGATTGTATCCCATCTTGCATTGCTTAAGCTAGATTGCTTCATTGATTATAAAAACCATTAATTCTATGTTATAAATATGTCAGAATCCATTGGTAACATATTGGTGTTTACTATTTGCAGGACTGCCCTGAAGTGCATGCTAATGCTGCAGAAATATTGTGTGCTATAACTCGATATGCGCCCCCTGGGTTATCTACCAAGATCTCCAGCCCTAGGTAGTGTTCTGTGTTAATATTCTAGTCTATCCAGTATGGGTTTTTGTTCTATGAATTCTCTTGCATAAAATATTACTTATATGCATATTGGACCTTGCACAGTTTCATTGGAAGATTATTTTGCCATGCATTGGAGGGCTCACGGCCAAAATCCGTTTTGGTCAATTCATTGTCTATATGCATATCCTTGTTGGACCCTAAAAGGCTAACATCAGGAACATATTACTTCTTCAACCGTCAATCTACTCAGGGAACTGGGGTAACTGCTAACCCCAAGACTATTGAAGGCATGCTGGAAAGCCTAGGTATGTTTGCATCTTTCTGTGTTAAGCACAGTTAATATACTTGTATCCTTCAGCTTAATAGAAGTTACTCTAGCTAGAAGGAATGAAAATGTGAGATTGTCAGAAAGAATCTCTTCTATACTTTACTCATTGTCATGTAGCTAGAATCATATCCTTTGGATGGTTCTTTATATTGGCTATAAATTAACGAGGCACTGTGTAATCATTTAATTGTAAAGCTCTCTGAAATTTGAATTAGGATTCATTTGTGGGGTACAGTTTTTGATCCTTTAAAATGGTTTAGATAAGCCTCTCGACGTGCCTGGATAGACATAGGTGGTTGTATTGGAAGAAAGTCTCCTAGTGCCAGGGGTTAGGAGTTAGGACTGATAGATTTTTTCAAATTGGATGTCTATGAACTTTAGGAAGTTAGACTAAGGACTGCAACTTCCAAATAGAGTAGTTTAAGCTTCATCTGTTGTCACTTATGCCACATTTTAGTTTTGTTTTCTCTTAAGCCAAATCCAAGAAATTAAATCTAGTTTTGTACTTTTGGTGAAGTGGAGATCAATTTCAGCTGAAACTTAGTTTTGTTCTTTTATATCATTGAACTAAAAAAAGCTGAGGGCCCGTTTACTTTAGTTTTCTATTCTCTGTTTTCTTTTTTCTAGTTTTTAAATTTAATTCTTTGTTTTCTATTCCTTGTTTTTGGTTTAGAAAACTTTTAAATTTAAGTGAAGCATGTATATAATTTTTCACTTTCAAGTCTAATATATATGAAATTTTAATATTTGATATCCAAACCAAACTTATGTTAGGATATAACATAACTAAAAATATCTGGACTAATAATCCATTGAGTTCAACCAAAATCTAAAAATCGGTCTAGGTTTCGAGTTTTAATTATGATAATATGAATTATGTCTAACTTTAAGTGTATGCAAATAAGTTATGTTTACAAGTAAATGAAAGTAGAAAGGATAAAAGATGTTAATGAATGTTGTTATAGTAATGGATAAATATATAAGTAAATAAGTAGATAAAGGTGGTAGGAATGTGGTTGTAGTGGAATAAATGACAGAGGTTCTGTTTTCCAACTTAGAAATCTGAAAAAAAGAAACAAAACAAAACAAAAGTTCTCCAGTTTTCTGGAAACTGGAAAACTGAAAAAAAATTCTCCGGTTAGTAAACGGGCCCTCAGATATTCAGATTAAGGGGTATCTCAGTTATTAAGCAATGAATACTTCCTATGGTGGATTTGAATTATTTCTGTTTTGGTAGTGTTGAGTGAGAATTTTTTGTAGTTGGGAATTATGAACTTTACATTCTTTTATGCAGGTGATCTAATCAAACTTTTAGATGTTTCATCAGAGGACAGTGTCTTGCCAACTACATATGGCAAGCTACAGCCACCTCTTGGAAAGCATCGTCTTAAGGTAGTTAACTATGTCTCATTGAAAGAAAAAATGAACTCAAGCAATTGGAAATCTCCTTTTTTTTTTTTTTTTTTTTTTTTTTTTTTTTTTTTTTTAAAGCTGAATGCTGGAACTAGGCACTTATTTATAGAGCAAATACCAATTTTAGTCTCACGAGTATTAGCAAAATGACGGTTTTAGTCCACATGTTTAATTCCTACCAATTTTCATCCACGACTATTGTTTTTGTACCAATTTTAATCCATGACTATTATTTTAGTACCAAAATTCATCACGTCGGTCACCCATCTATTTAAAACATCCTGAAATCTAAAAATTTTAAGGGCATTTTTATCCTTTTCAAATTAATATTCCAATTTGAGCATAAATAAATGAATTTAAGCCCAAAGATTGATCCCAATTCGCAGTTCTCCTCCTCATCCTACATTAATTTGAGGAGGAAAACTGCGAATTGGGATAGATCTTAGGGCTTAAATCCCTTTATTCATGCTCAAATATGAATCCTAATTTGAAAAGCACGAAACTACCCTTAATAATTTCATATTCCGGCATGTCTTAAACGAAGGGGTGACCGGCGTGATGAATTTTGGCACTAAAACAATAGTTGTGGATGAAAATTGGTAATAAAACAATAGTCGCGGATGGAAATTGGTAGGAATTAAACATGTGGGGACCAAAACTGTCATTTTTCTAATACTCGTGGGACCAAAATTGGTATTTGCTCCTTATTTATAATGAAAACTTACTAAAGTAATCTCTATCATATATACATCATGTTCGACACTGTGTTTTTATACTTACACATATTACCTCAAAGAGAGTTTTTACACTACTTGCCTTTATGCAAAAACAAAGTACTGTTCTCTCCTTTATTCTTTTACATGCTGAAAGTGTCAAATTATAAATGATGCAGAGGGAGATGTTGCATTTGACTTTCATTGATCTTATATTTTTCTTTTACTGATCAGTTTGATGTTGCATTTGAATTAGCTGCTCATTTGATGTTCCTGTACTTTCTCTACCTTCCTCTTCCTTTTTAACTGTTATATGATGTTTCTGAATTCTGACAGTAGTAACATAAATCTTCAGATTGTGGAGTTCATTTCAGTCTTAGTGAGTGTCAGTAGTGAAGCTGCTGAAAAGGAATTGATTCGGCTTGGGGCAGTTAAACGAATTTTGGATTTGTTCTTTGAGTAAGTTCACACCTTTAGCTTCATCTTGTCTTATATGGAGGAATGAATTTTGAGTGTCTTAACCTGGAAACAAATGTAGGTATCCATACAATAATTTTTTGCATCACAATGTTGAGCACATTGTAGTATCTTGCCTAGAGAGCAAGAATGCTCAGTTTGTGGATCATGTCCTCTGTGAATGTAATCTTGTTGGGAAAATTCTTGAGGCAGAGAAGAACCTCACAGTGACCACTGATTCATCGAAGGTAATTATCTGTATTGTGGCTTTTCTCTGTATGTTTGTTACCTGTTAAATGATCACCATCATTTCCTATAGATGTCTGTTCTCTATATGATATTGTTACTTTTATTGAATGATTTTGCAGCCAACTGTCCCTGTCGAGGGGAAATCACCACCCCGGATAGGTAATATGGGGCACATTACACGCATAGCTAACAAGCTTATCCAACTGGGGAACAATAACAACAACATACAGACTTATCTGCAGGTTCATCTGATGATCTTTTTTTGTATTAATATCGTCAATGTATTGCTTAAATTATCAATAACTGATGTAGTCACATCATATTCTGGTCCAACATCCCTCCATTTTAGCTTGTCAGTTTTAGAGTTGATACTTCATGTCATTGGAAATACATTCTGCAAACATGAAAGGGAACACTTTTGTCATCTCTAAGTTTTCTTGTCCTTTATGAAATGACTTTGGCAGGAAAATAGTGAATGGGTTGATTGGCATACAAATGTCCTACAAAAACGGAATGCTGTGGAAAATGTTTTCCAGTGGGCATGTGGGTAAGTGGTGGTTCAAAAGTGCACTCACTTTCCTTTCTTTAGCTGTGAATTTGTCTGGTTTGCTTGTTGAATGACAAATTTATTTGACATAGAGCATCTAGCTAGAAAGTAATTTATCCCCTTGGTTTCATTTTCCTAAATATCATAAAAATGTTCTTTATATAAAATGCACTATAGCTGCATTTTACCAGAAACTGAAGCAGTAACTTGGTGTAATAAAGCACTTAAAATGACTATATTATTGGTGGAAAGTAAGGGTAGAGAATAGGAGGGACAGGATAATGGAGAGGAAAGTTTGTGTTTGAATGAGGAAAGGGAAAGAGACGAGTGAGAAATGGAGATTGTGCTTGGAAGGGAAGAGCCAAAATTCTGCCTAATTTTTTCCCATTTGTGGAAAAATATTTTATAGATTTTGCCGCATTCAACTTCTCTTGTTGACAAGATAGTATCTACTTTATCAATTTGCTTTCTTGACTTGCACTTAAATATGGTTTCATCTTTATTGCAGGAGGCCTACAGCACTCCAAGACCGTATGAGGGATAGCGATGATGATGATTACCAAGATAGGGACTATGATGTTGCAGCTTTAGCAAATAATTTAAGTCAGGCATTTCGATATGGGATCTATAGCAATGATGACATGGATGAGGTGCTTGTCCCTACTTTTACTGTCAAACTTTTTCTCTTGCCCAAGGTGCTTTTGGCACAACATTTGGTTAGAAAATATTTAATGTTTAAAATATTTGACAATCAGATTACATGCAAAGAGTTGGAGTTAGAACCAAACAGTATAAATTAATTGTTTATCTTTTTCTTAAACTGGGTCAGGTGCTGGCAAGTCTGATAAGTGAACCTGGTTCTAAATGGTGTCCTTTGTCTGTGAAAGTGGAATGGAAGTGTTAATATCATTTGCTTTGATGGTTCTTAGTCTGTTAAAAGGATTGCTAGTACCATTATATATATGTTTTTAAATCTAGATTCTCCTCCACTTGGCAATATCTCAACTGCTCTTTGATGCTCCTTTAAGAATTTATTGTTTTAAAATTTCATGTCTTTGATATTCCATAAAAAAAGAAGCTGAAATTTGACTACTTGTGATGTCTTTAAAAAACTAATTTAAATAATTGATTCATTTTAGTATACATTTTGAATCTCAAGCTTTCATGTAGCCATAACTTTTTTGTATTGATATGCAGGCCCATGGTGCACTAGAACGCGATGATGAGGTACGCTCTGACTCTTCTATATTCCTCTTAGAATGATTGTTCTCACTAATGAGCTAGCCACAATGGTGACTAAATAATTAATAATGAATGTATTCCTGTGTGTTCACACATGAAGTTTTATATATAGAGGCAGCATGAGTACAAATATTCTCTTGGTTAATTTACTTGTATTTGTTGGTTTATAGTGTAGTAAGGTTTTGACGTTTAAGATTATGAAGATCTCGCTTTATAAAATTTCATTTATCTGATGTTCTTTAAAAGCTTCTGTGGTTTTCTGTAGGATGTCTATTTTGATGATGAATCTGCTGAAGTTGTCATATCATCACTTCGATTAGGAGATGACCAAGATAGGTGGGTGAGGGAACAGTTGGAAAATCCTTAGTTTTTTTATTTTTATTTTTATTTTTTATCTCTTCCAATGGGTTGTGAAATTGGGTAAGAACTCTTCCATTGCAAGGAAGAGAAAAGAAATCATATTTTAAAAATTAAGTTCCACTTCCACATTTTGTGTTCACAGTGGATCTCTTTTTACAAATTCCAACTGGTTTGCCTTTGAGGATGATAGAATGACCAATGATCGCCAACCTGGTTCAGTAGCTTCACCGTCACCAAATACCAATGGGACCAATGTTATCTGCCCCAGCAATAAAGATGAGCCAACTGCTGATGGAGACAATGATTTGGCTGATACTGCAACATCTGGTCCATCTGAACCAAAACAATTCTCAGAGATTAGTTTGAGTGAGGAAGAGCAAAATCCTAGACACACCAAGGGTGGAGAGGCTCCTGAATGGGTTGATTGGAGAGAAAGTTCTGGGCCAACTGATGTTACTGTAGATACACCTGAGCCTTCAACTCTGCCAAATGGTGAACTTCAAGTGGCTGAAGATAATGCCAACACCAAAACAACAGCTGATGCTCCTGTGTCTGCAAATAATGACAAAAGTAATGCTGAAGGAGGATCAGCTGATTTGGTGCATCCTCCTCCTGCTGCTGCTGCTGCTGCTGCTGCTGCAACCCCAACTCCAGAAACAGCAGAAGGGAACCCCCCAAGGTCTGGAAGCTCTGATGCTATTCCTGTCTAAATACTCTTACTACTATTACCTGTTGGAATGAAAGGATGATCCTCAGGAGCTGAAGAGGGAAACTGATGTGCAGGAGTGCGTGCTATAAACAACTCTCTGGTGCTAGTACTGTTGATCTGGTGCAATAACAAAGTGCGGACGGGGGGTTATTGTTCTGAGTGCTGATGATTCTTTTCCCGGGGTGGTGGTAGATAAACCGGTGTTCTATCTTCTTTGATCTTACAGTCACTAGTGCAGATGACTTTTCACGCCTTGTTTTACTATTCATTTCAAGCGTCACTGCTGGATTAGCATTTAGCAGACTGCTGTACACGTTCAAAGAATATTGTCTATATCTCATAGTTTTTCTTTCCTGCTCCATTTCACTTCACAAATGAATGCCATTCCTATCTATTTTTGCTATATTGCACCTTTCAATTTAGACATGCTATCAATTATATAATAAATAAAGAAAAATGCATGTGTGAGCATGGAAGGGTAAACCACCCATCTTTATTGAATGGAATTAGCTAGGACAATAATCTTTGTGAAAATATGCTTTACAAAAATATATGCCTCGGAGTTTATCTTTATTATTCACCATTTTGAATTACTTGATTGTATTGTTGGAACCTTCTTTAGAAGTGCGTTAACTTGGGTTTTGTTGGTTAGTTGGAAATGAACATTTATTTATGGTCTGTAGCTTCCTAGTTCCTATACAGAAGGTCTTGCATCTCTTGTTGTCCCATGTAGAAAGGAGCATCACATTCTCGCACAATCATGAGCATGCCCCTCATTTGTCTCGCACAGTCAAACCTTCGCCATAGGCCCTAAAGCCGCTTTACCTCCTAGAGTCAAAGCCTACTCTTGAAGAACTTGCATTAATGCGGGGCCCATGTAATCCTAATAATCGTGCTTGAGCGTGCTTGAGCGATTTGGAGAAGACAACTAGAGCCTGAGTAGTCCACCAGGCATGCGTGAAATAACCTACTCGTCTGCGGCGCAAGCAAAGTCCTCGGTCCCCTATCCGTCCTCAATAGCATCCTGCAGGGCCTTGGCGTGATCAACTTGTTGTCGCTTGTGGTCCTCATGCAAAGTCTGGTGTGCTTGCTGCAATGCAGTGTGGGAAGCTTTGAGGGCAGTCAACTCCGTCACCATGGCATCGTGGGCTTCTTTAAGCTGTTGGCAACGTTCCTCTAGAGTATCGTGTGCCTCCTCAGACTCAACAAAGTCCCGTGATGCTTCCTGCAACCGTTGTTGAAGCCCTACGGCTTGCATGACAACTTGCATAAGAGGGGGGGGGGGGGGGGGGGGGGGGGGGGGGGAGGGAGGAGTTAGTACACAGTGCACTTGCATAAAGAAGAAGATGTGATTTGTCCTTACATTCATAGCGTCACCCACCATATGTGAACTGGGCATCCAAGGAGTTGTTGTCCATCTAGAACCGTTGAGCAGGAGGCACTATTTCTTGCACTCTACAGCGTATGAGATCAATATGACCTGGCTCATAAGGACGAAATGGTGCATAAAGAAGATGTAATTTGTCCTTACATTCATAGTGTCGCCCACCAGATGTGAACTAAGCGCAACCATGGAGTTGCTGTACATCCAGAATCGCTAAGCCCGTGGCACCATTTCTTGTACTCTGTAGCGTATGAGATCGATATGACTGTGCTCATAAGGATGAAGTGGTCTAGGCCGGGTGGAAGACTCGTCATAACCTCTCGCGGCCAAAGGGTCGTATGTGTAACACCCCCAAAATTCTAACACAGGAATATTAAATAAAAGAGATATATAAAAATAAGTTTCGTTTACAAAAAATAGAGTTTAAGCGCGGAAGCTTAACAACATAGAACCTAGAGGGTGTCACGTCACATTTGGGCCAAAACCAAACCCAATTGCTAAGGCTTCTAGAACTACAAATCCATAATCAATATCCGACATCCAACAAGTCTAAAATAACATACATCCATCATCTAAAAATCTTAGCTACAAGTCCCAAACGTACACATACTAATAAGATGATACTAAATTGAGAAGTCTACTCGGCGCTCTCAAGCTAGCCACAACTCCAATCCTAAAAACAACAAGGTTGGAAAACACAAAACAAAAGCATTAGAGAAGAACCTTAATAGCAAGGGAGGATTAATTAAGGCTAAGAGGTAACCCATGTCTCGACAAAACCTATTTTCCTTGCTATATCATATTCATTGGCTCCTTTGATAATCGTATGTGTAATTCGGTGATTGAGTCTTGATAGAGCCTTTGCATAGGATTTATATTGTGCTTATTTGATAATCTTGATGTTCTCGATCTTGTGATTGATTATATGTATGATCTCGTATTTTAATTATGTCTAGAGCCCTAGGGTTTATATCGTGAATTTCGCATTATGATGTTCTTGTTATATTTGGGTGGGATTATGCATGATCGGGTGTTGAGTCTAGCCTTGGACTTGTGTTTAGGACTTTGCATATAGATTTCTTGATGTTCATGTGGTTCCGGATGCTCTTGAACCGTTATATGATTTATGTTGAGTCTTGACATGTTTAGGAATCGTGTTAGAACGTATTTTGTATGATTCTTGGTTTGTTTCCGTTAATTGAATACGTGGTGTTGTCGTTATGTGTTTGAATGTGTCTGGACATGGTTTCGGGTTTCACGAGAGATCTCGGGACCAAAATATTACCTGTGAGTCAGTGGGGGATAGGTGGGGGCAAGGGTGCCCGCCACCTACCCGCTGCCCGTGCCCACCTTCCAGCGGGCAGGTGACTGCTCGCCGGGCACCCGCTGGAATAGTGTGTCGCCGTCGGCGGGTGGTCCTCCACCCACCACCCACCTGCTGGAAGCCCGGCATGGTTCATGGTGTTTTCCCCGTTTGTTGTTTTCTCGTGTCCCGTTGTGTCCTGTTGTACCCCGTTTTTTGTGTATGAGTCTCGTTTGGTGTTTAGGTATTATTCTAGGAATTTATGTGTAATACGTGTCGTTGTTGTTGTGCCTTGATTGTTATGTAATTATGTGTTGATTGATTGATTGGTGATGAGTATAATGGTCATTGCGCAATGACTGGTGTGACTAATGATGATGATGAAATTGTGATTGGTGGAAAAGAATTGTTGGAGATTGGCACCACTTGTGCCGGGTCATTGTTCTAAAGGTAGAGGCCATAACGGTGACTGTGCTGAAGGCACACACCCACCTTCGACTAGCTTGCCGTTGAGAATGGGTCAGGTTATAAGTGCTACAGTGTCATGTTAGAGCTATATACGCTAACCCCTTGATATTGGCACTAGAGGTGCAGATCATTGAATGGCACTGCGGTACCATCTTGATATGTTGGTGGTTGATAGGTGGTTTGTCGGTGGGGGCATGTAGTTACCCGGAGGAATAAGGGGTGGTGATATAAGGGTGGCCTGGAGGTATAGGTTGGAACTGATATAAGGACGGAGGGGAGCTACAAGGTTGGAACTTGGTATAAGGTTGGAGGATGAATTGTGTGCTTTGATGACTACTTGCTAATTGACTGTCTTGAATGCCTTCGTTGTCTCTAATTGCTATTTATACGCTTATATGTCTGTTATGCCTTGTATTGCGTTCTTAGGATGCATGTTAGTGTTTATGATTATTCTATAATGTTGATTCTGTTAAACGTGTCTTGAGTCTTGATCTTGGATTTAAATTAGAGTCTCGTTAGTATATATGTATTCTAGTTTCAAAATGAGTTTCTTATATCTACCTATATTGTACTTAACGCGTTGGAGTGGGTTACCAGCATTATTCGCTGACGGTTGTTATACTGAATGTTTTTCAGGTGATGAGCATTAGCTTCAGAGCGCGCTAATCGGAACCCTGTGACTTAGCTTAAATAGCCTTAGCACAGTAGTTGGCCTGCGTGCCTTGGGATTGTATTTGAATATTGACTTGTGGATTAATTATGCTTGGTTAGTCTAGCCTGTGCATCTAGGTTCTCAAACCTAGGTGTGGCATAGCACCCCGACACTTATGGATAGCTTTATGCTCTGTTTGTGATTTAATTGATAGATTCACCTTTATTTTATAAGTTTTAAATATCTCAAAATTTAGGGGTGTTACAGTTGGTATCAGAGCCTAAGTTCGACCCTAGGACAATGCCTTTAGGATAAGGCTTTGGGAAATTAAGCTTGAACTCTAGATACTTACATATTTGGATGTTAAGAGTTAGACTTTAAGATGTTAAGCTTTAACTCTAGGCATCTAAATACTTAGGACATACGAATCTTAGGACGCGCGGTAAGGTTGTGAGTTTATTTATCGCCTTCAATTAAGCTTCATGTACTTGTTCCTTGTTCAGCTTTAGTTCTTTTAGTTAAGACACCAGGTTAGGGTGTAAGTAGATAAATTTACCTCCGTAACCGGGTGACGTGCACCTACTCGGTAAATCGCCTCGTTCTGATTTCCGCTAAAGACTTAACGAAGACTGCAACTAAGAGAAGGGAAACTTGGATGTCTGTTAAAGTAAAGCAGCTAAAATGTGACGTTCACATCTGGACATAGGGTTAACTCGAAGAAGTTAGACTGCTTTACTCGCAACTTGGAGTCAGCTACCGCGATTCCCTTTCGAGCAAGTAACGTGCAACTCCTGGTAAGTTACTTTATCTCGGTATGTAAAGGTTACATCTACGACTAGAAGGAAAGAGAACTAGGACGCCAATTAATGCAAGGAAGTGAAGTAACGGATGAACAACGCCGTTGGTTAATGTTTGGTGCAAGGCAAGTATACCACGACGTCTTGTGAGCCCTTTTGCCTCAGTATAAAATATCTTCTCGCCTTTGAACCTCAGCCTCTTGATATTCCTATTTGTTGAAGCCCCCACATCGAATCCTTGGTTATTCAGGGAAGCAATTGACACCCGCTATGTTTTTACTTACCCTTTGTTGTACCTAACTTGAATCCTTGAAAACTCTAAATTGTTATGAGCTTGTAATCATTGTCATTTCTCTAGTTCTATGTCCCTCTCTTTTGAAACCCTTGTTAAAACACTACGAGTGGTGTAAACCCCTTGCTTTGCCGGATGGCGTGAGAGTCAATGCTTATCGGTTTGGCGTTAGGATTATCATTAAGTAAGGATCGGCAAGTTAGATAGAGGAGACGGATGCTTGGAGAGAGTATCGTGCGCTAAGCCTCGCTGCGGTAAGGACCTTACCCTTGGCATGAAAGCCTTGACGGTTTTAAGGCACCATAAGAAGTATATGTGATGCACAAAGTCGCCAACGTCATGCGACGACAAAAGCAGTCAACCAAATACATTCCAAGAAAGAGAAAGGCGTCACTAAGAGTTTTGTCCGCTAAAGGATTAAACGGGATCAGACGACAAACTGAATTTCAAGAAGACCGAGACGACTTGTCGTTAACCAAGACAAGAAAAGACAAAGTT